TCTGTTGAGAATTGCTTTTATAGCAGGGATTTTCAGCCACCATGTCCTCTAGAAACATGTCCTCTGGCACAGGTAAAAACACACAGGCATTCGTACCCCATTTTTGGAACCTTGCAGGAACTGTCCATTTGTTTTTCAGTGTCTTCTTCCCATCTCTGTGGCAATGAACAACTGTGTATGGATCTTGCTGATTGCTCCCCTGTGGTGTAGTCTTTGGATTATCTACTTTACTTCTCTTCCTTTTCTGATTTGTTTTCTCTCGGGATATTGCCTAGGAAATACATATAAGCTCTTAAACCATTTTGCAAGTTCCTTATGACCCTTTTGCTCATACACTAGTAACTTCTAAAATATTCTTGTTTCTCCGTGAGATTCTGATTACAACTACTTCAGCAAATAAAGCATATGTAAGTGTACACTGAGGACTTTTAATTCTACCCCTACCTGCAGCGCACAGCTCCAGCCAGGCAGCAAATCCCTAACATCACATAAAGAAAGATGTGATGTTCATGTTCAAAGGAGTTTGCCAGGGGAGCTAAATACTCATGCCTTCATGGCTAATCCCACTGGGTTAATGTTTATGTGCCAAATGAAAGGAATGCTAAGATTCCAGTAACAGAAACAGTACCTCATGCAAGCAGAGATATAGAAGGATCTGGAGGTTACAGTTAGCAGGGCAGCTTGAATGGAACATAGGCAGAAAAAGAGAAGGGGGGAAATAAAGAGATATAGGCATGGGTTGTGGGTGAGAACTTGAAGTCAATGTAGAAGGTTAGGGAAACCAGTAAAAGGACTCAAAGAGGGATGACGTGATAAGAGCATATCATGTAAGTGAGAGAGAGAGAGATGTGGTGCAAGGAGGCAGCATAGCTAAACTTGCAAATATACCCACATTTGCAAAATCCTTAAAGATTCTTATTGTCATGTCTAATAGCAAAAACCTACAGTCCCAATACCATTAGGCTACGTCTACACTGGCCCCTTTTCCGGAAGGGGCATGTAAATTTCACGAGTCATCGTAGGGAAATCCGCGGGGGATTTAAATATCCCCCGCGGCATTTAAATAAAAATGTCCGCCGCTTTTTTCCGGCTTTTAAAAAAGCCGGAAAAGAGCGTCTAGACTGGCCCCGATCCTCCGGAAAAAGTGCCCTTTTCCAAAGGCTCTTATTCCTACTTTGAAGTAGGAATAAGACCCTCCGGAAAAGGGCACTTTTTCCGGAGGATCGGGGCCAGTCTAGACGCTCTTTTCCGGCTTTTTTAAAAGCCGGAAAAAAGCGGCGGACATTTTTATTTAAATGCCGCGGGGGATATTTAAATCCCCCGCGGATTTCCCTACGACGACTCGTGAAATTTACATGCACCTTCCGGAAAAGGGGCCAGTGTAGACGTAGCCTCAAGGAATCCTCAACTAAAATCCTGACAAAATGAAGCACATTTATTCTAAGACATGATACCCAGGAAAATCAAGAAGGGAACAAGTCTGTCAAACTGGCTTCTCCATTTCATTGCTGAGGTTCCCCCACAAGGATCATTCAGAATGAACAATTTCAAGCAATGATATTAACTAGCTGTATCCAAGAATACACAGTTTATCAGAATCCTGAGGTACATGTATCACATGTCAGTTTTCAGAACCTCTTCTCTTATCACTTCACTAATCTCAGTATCATGGGCAAATTACAACTTAGGTAATTGCATAATATTTACCTGAATTGACACTCCATTTTTTATTGGGACCTCTTGTCCTAAACTGTTACTTAATGTAACTGTGCATTTTTAATCAGTGTTATGTTTCATCCCAGAGATGGTTGCATTTCAGTGGTAGATAAGACTCCTGTTTTCAGTTTGTGTGTCAGTATAAGGCCACAATCCTGAAAATACTTATCAAGGTACTTAATCTTAAACATGAATATTCCTAGTGATTTTCTATACATCTTGAAACCAATAGGACTACTCATGCTTCACACTGAGCACATAGAAATGAAGGGCTGGATGGGAGCTTGAGAGGTCATCTAATCCAGCCCCCTACACTGAAGGTCCGTCCCTGACAGGTTTTCTTGCCTGTTCTTGAAAACTTCCAGTGATGGAGAATTCACAATCATCGTCAAAGTCTATTCCAGTGCTTAATTATATGCATAATTAGAAAAATTTTCATAATGTATAACCTTATGTATAATCTCCCTTGTTGCAGATTATGCCCATTACTTCTTTTCCTATTTTCAGTGGATGTGAAGATCATTTGTCACTGCCAACTCTATCAGATCCCTTAAAATATTTGAAGACTGTAACCTAGGACTTCTTTTCTCAGGAGTAAACATGCCCAGTTTTTGTTTTTTGTAACCTTTCCTGATATCCAAAAGTATTTGCAGGTCATACCTCTGCTCTTTTACTTAAACTAATGAGGTGAAATCTTGCTCCCCTCCCCCATTGACATCAATGGCAAAACTCCTATTGATTTCAATATGCCCAGTATTTTACCCCAGGAAATACTGCAATTATGAAGTGAGAGAGTGAAACCTTATAACACACTTGCCATGTGGGAATGAGGGAGAAGATTACATAGAAATGGGTGTTGGATGCACTAAGCGATACAGCAGCTAGATGTGGAGCTGTTAGCAGCAGAATGGTGCAAAAAACGAGGTAAAGTCTACGAAAATGCATGCTTTGTTTTTTATAAAATGCCTTTATGTAAGGGCCCCACGCCATTTACCATATGGTTTTGAACCTAGGGCTTTCAGCACCAAAGCACAGACTTTTGTGCTTTGAACTGAAGGAATAATTCCAGCAAATTACTGGAATTAATAGCATTATCCTCTGTATCAGGGATTTTCAAACTTTATTGCACTTTGAGCTCTTTCTCAGAACAAAAATTACTGCACAACCCTAGGAGGGGCGACCCAAACCTGAACCCACTTGAGTCCCACTGCCTGGGGCAAAAGGGCAAAACCCAAAAGGCTTCAGCCCCAGGTGGGAGACTGTAACCAAAGTCCTGTCACACAAGGCTGATGCCCTCAGGCTTCAGCCCCAGGCATTGGGCGTGGTCTTGAGCTTTGGTGTTATGCTCCAGCAAGACTAATGCCAGCCCTGTAGATTCCATTTAAAATAGGGGCATGACCCAGTTTGGGGTCCCAACCCACAATGCAAGAACCGTTGCTCTATGTATATTGTGGGGAGTAATAACAGGCTTAGCAAGAGTATTGGCCTAATACTTGATTTTTCTTTCAAGTATTAAAATATGTGCAGATCATCAGAAGATCTGCACACTCTCCTACGAGTTGCATTTTAAAAACCAAAACTGAAGTTGGCTAATTCTCCTTGCTTGCTTGAGTAATTTGCTTCCAGAGTCTAGCCAAGTTCTTCATTATCTTTAATGCTATGCACTGGGAAGTTTGAATGATACCAGAGGAGTTAGTAATTAGTTTGGGTTACATAAGAATCTAAAGAATTGTGAATCTCTTTTAAGAAGACAAAGTCCCATATGATGCTTTTTCTTCCATTAATAGAAAAAGATTTATGCCTTCTTTCTTGTTTACAAAGCTTACTGACAGAGCCAACATCACAAAGGAAAAGCTTAAAAAGCTTTGTGTCACCTGGCTGAACAATTATAACCAAGTACTGAAAGCCATCATGGCTTAGAGTATGTCTGTGCTATAGATTCCAATTATTATTGCAAGAATGTGTAACTACCTTTCCCAGCAGTGTTTGCTAGGGTTGCCATTTGTACGTTTTTCGGCCAGAACACCCAGTAGAAATGGGACTCTGGCAGCTCTGGTAAACACTGCTGACCAGGCTGCTAACAGTCCAGTCAGCGGTGCAGTGGGGCTAAGGCAGGATCCATGTGGTTCCTGGAAGTTATTGGCACAGAAGCAGCCACAGGGGCTTCAAGCTCTTCCCTGCCCCGAGCACCAGCTCTGCAGCTCCTATTGGCCAGGAACTATGGCCAATGGCAGCTATCGGGGTGGAGCCTGCAGGTTTGGGCAATGCACAGATATCTTTGGCCTCTCTGCTGGCTGCTGCCAGAAGCTGCCTTAGTTAAGTGCCACCTGGCTGCAGCCTACATCCTGAACTCCTTCCCCAACCCTCTGCCCCAGCTGGGTGAAAGTGAATGAGAGTGGAAAAGAGCAAGAGATGGACAGAGGGGGGATGGAGTAAGTGGGGGCAGGGAAAGTGTCTGTAGGGCAGTTCTGGGAAGGATCGAGGCCAGGCAAGAGTGTTCAGTTTTGTGCAATTAGAAAGTTGGCAACTCAGTCTTTGTTCCTGGATCAGTAAGGGGAGAAAGCAGACAGTAACACTATCAGGGCCTGATTCTCAACAGATATCCATGAAGACAGGGTATGCCTGCACTGTGTCCCTCTGAAGTTAATTGGATTCCATGTGTGGCATCAATCCCATTGCAGGTCCTCAGTTAGGCAGTTTTAGCCCCCAGCTACGTGAAGATGCTTTGTATCTGCTTTTTCCTCCCTGTCTTGTTCCTTGCACAGAGCTGAAGATTGAGCCCTATGACTTTAAGACTCTCTACAAATCATCCATAGAGCATTGGGAGACATTACGGTATCACAGATACTGCTGCGGGTATTTGAATCCTTGAAGTCTAATTAATATTATTAGACAATCTTTCTAAAAAGGCAAAGATTGGATGGCTAACAGTTAGCAACTACCTTGAATCATACTTGGCCATTCAATCTTTCTCCTAAATTGGTAGCTGAAAACTTTATTTTTATTCTTCTGGTGTGCTTTTAGAAAGATTGTCTTTTTAAAAAGTTTTTTATACATATTTTATACATCCTTATTGTAAAACTAGATACAATTTAATATGATGCCTAGAGACATCTAAGAGGGATCCTTCTCTGAAAACCTACACAAGCTTATAGAGAATACTACCCTTACTATAAGTTTTTGAACCACCTTACAGAATTCCATAGCACTGACAGAGTTTAGAATTACATTTCATAGCATAATACCAAAAGTTCTCATTTTCCGTTACATTCCGTAAGATCACATCCATCAAGACAGCACCATTCTGCTTTCTCTTCCTAATGAATGGAAGACCTGCTACATAAATTCACTTCTCCTCCCTAGAAAGATAGGATGATCTTATAGTGGAGTATGTCAGAGACTTCCTATAGGACCTCAGGTAAACCATTAACTTCTCTGGTATTATTTTATTGCTATCACAGTTTGGACATCCTGACCCTGTTTGACAGGGTAAAAGGTTATCATGTCAGCTAACAGGATTCAGAGAGGTAGCCATTCTGTTGTCTATATCAGCAAAAACAAGGAGGCCAGTGGCACCTTAAAACCTAACAAATGTATTAGGGCATAAACTTTCATGAGACGCAACTCACTTCCTCAGATGCTTGAAGTGAAAGAAAAGCAGGGATGCAGAGATAGGAGTGTAACATCAGTGCTAATTAAATCAGGATGAATGTGACTCACTTCCAACAGAGAAAGTGAGTGTCCCTGAAAGAGAAATTACTTATTGTAATGAGAGAGCTATCCCACGTCTTTATTCAGACCCATACTGACAGAGTCAAATTTGCACATGAATTCCAGCACAATAAAAAGTCTTGTCAAGATGCAGGTTGGTAAGTCTGAAAGCCATGTTAGCTGGCCACGTTTTAGCTTGGGAGTGAACACTGCCTAAAACACAGCTCCTTAAATATACCTGACTAATGGCTTTAAACAAGTTGGCTTGCCCTGTGGCAGGACTTTCCAATCATGTTAAACAAGTTCACGTGAGCTAACATGACTGAGAAATATCATGCTTTTTGCTTGTCAAGAAGGGGCAATGTGGGATCAGAGGGAGACAACTGTCACTGTAGATCATACTGCTGATATGAGATGGTACTTGTCATGTCTCTATACCCAGTGCGTAGAAAAGGGCACAAGCACCCTTTTCAGTGCGTGAAGTGTTAGTCATACTCCAGTCTGTCCCACATACAGGGAGTCCCCGGGTTACGTACAAGATAGGGACTGTAGGTTTGTTCTTAAGTTGAATTTGTATGTAAGTCGGAACTGGTACATATTGTAGGGGAAACTCTAGCCAAACATTTCTCCAGAGCTCAGTTTTATTCTCCCACACCTCACTTCCCTCAGTCCTTTATTCTCAAGCTGAGGTATCTGCTGAGAAAAGCCGCTTCGCGTCTCCCTGGTCTGCTTGGGGGGGCACTAGCTTCGCGTCTCCCTGGTCTGCTGGGGGGAAGCAGCTAGTGCGGGGTTGCCTCACCCTGTTTGTAAGTAGGGATCCGATGTAAGTCGGATCCATGTAACCCGGGGACTGCCTGTACCTTTTTGGACAGCTGCTGCTGAGGCCTGCTGCTCCATCTTTTCCCTTCTGGCGAGTGAGGGTTCAAGGCATGGATGTTGACCTCAGTCTCTTCCTTTCCTCTTAAATCTTCCTGTCCTTCCACAGGCTTAGAGAAACTGCTGCTTCCTCTTCTTTCAGCCTGACTTTCCATAGTCTATAGGGCCAGCTTTACAGCTACCCTCTTAACTTTTTCTCACTCTCAACTGAACAATTAAGGGAAAATTGGTGTTGTTCTAAATGTTATCATGAAGTGAGCTGTTAAACAGAGAGAAAACAACAGAAAACATATGCAAAGTGATTATGGATGACCAAGGCTATCAGTGGAGGGTTGAGAGGAAGAGGAATAAATATGGTATCTTCATATTTTCTTCCTTGTGAACCTCTCTCTCTAATTCCTGTTGCTACAACAACTTCAAAATCCCATGGCAACAAAATTCATACAATCTAGAACACAGGGACCATTCAAGAGTAATGATCTAGAAAAGGTTTTAACGTCAATAGAGTTATTTCCAATTTGCACTAATTTGTTAGGATCTGGGTCCCAGTGAGTTCAGACATGTCTACACTACAGAGGTGTGGGGCGAGGAGGAGACATTGCAGGATCTCCGCTTCAAGCGCTGCAACGTGGACATCTTCGAGCACATGGCTGAGTCCCTGGCAGAGTGTGGACACCCACCCCAGACCTTGGAACAGGTCTGGAGTAAGGTAAAGGAGCTCCGTTAGGGATACGTCAGGGCCAGAGAGTGCAGCTCGTGCTCAGGCAAGGACCCCACACCTGGCCCTATTACCAGGAGTTCCACCAGAACCTGGGGGCTGGGGAAACATCTTCCCCACCTATCATCGTGGACTGCAGCCTAGAGACCCCCATCATCACCCGGCCAGAGGTCATGGCAGAGGAGGAGGAGGACCAGGGCCATCAGGAGGACGAGGAAGAGATGGACACGGTCATCCTGTCCCTGGAGCCAGAGCGGGAGCTTCAGGTGAATACTCTCAGTTTATCACACACACAGGGCGGGGAGGCAGGCGCACTGGAGGCAAGGTGAAAGCGAAGTTCGGGCTGCTCGGGCTGGACATCGTGCTGCAGTCCGTGCACAAGGAACCACGTGCAGCGTTAGTGTGTGGAACACTGACTCAGCAGGCAGCCCCTGAGCCTGGGTGGAATCCTGCTGCCAGGCTCAGGAGAGGCCACACACACATCCAGCCCCGGGGCAGGGAGGAGGGGCAGTGCCCTCCCAGCACCTGCCATGGCTGGAAGCAGGCTAGCCACAAGGGCGCAGGCACGACCCCCGACACCCCAAGGAGTTCTGCACACAGCATGTGGGCATGCCTGCACGTGCGAGGCAGCACCCACTCCCACAAGCAGCGCTGCGAGCCGCAGGTTTGTGTGTGGACCCCAGGGAGGGCCGGGCTGCTCCCAGCTCCTCTGCCGCCCATGGAATCCCACTGTGGCTGGACACTTCCCTTGCCTGCTTGTCCATGGGTGGGAGGGAGGTGGGGGAAGCAAGCAGCATGGTCCCCTGGGCACCTTGGGGCCCCTGGGAGGCAAGGCTTGCTGTGCAGGCCACACATGGCCTTCCTCTCAGAACACCCCCCTCCTCTGCCCTGAGGACTGTTGGTCACTGCTCACAGAGGGGAGCACGGCCTCAGGGACAGTGTCTGCATGGATGACCGACCACTTCTCCCTCTTTGTGTTCTCCACAGCTGGGCCAGTCGGTACTGAGGGGTGAGCCATGTCACCCGTGCCAGCTGACACAGCCCGAGGGACCCAAAAGTGCGTCAAAGTGCAGTGGACCCTGGAGCAGAAGATCCACGAGGACGCTGAGTGGCGGAAGTGTGCCTGGGACCAGCTCATGCAGTGGTGCGATAGCATGTGTGCTGTCTTGAGAGAAATGATGGCACACCCACCTGCTGTTGCTCCTCCTGCCTACCATCCTCCTGCCCCCCCCGCTATGCCCATTTCCCCTCCCACTGCCCCCCATGCAATGCCTCTGCTCCTTCCCCAAGCAGTGCCCATGCCCTCTCCCCAAGTAATTCCCATGCCCTGTCCCCATGTGATGTCTATGCCCCCTCCCCCCATCCCCTGACATCTCTGACACTGCTCCAGCCCTAACTCCTGCCCACCCCCCTGTGGTACTCGGACCCACCAAACCCCAACTCCAACGAGGTCCCCGCACTCAAGGTGGCACATCTAGCCACCCCCTAGGCCACTCTGATCCCTCTTCCCCATCCAGGTTATGAGCCCCCCCTCTGCCTGCCCACCTTTTTTTAATGAAAGATAAATACAGACTTCATTTTGTTGGAAATCAAACAGGTCTTTTTATTGAGAGGTTAGGGAAGGGGAAAAAGGAAGGGTTGTATTAGGAATAAGGTTGGCGTAGCCAGAGGCCCCTGTTGGGGAGGCCTTGGGGAGAGTTACTAGGGTCCTTGAGAGAACCTCTCCTTCTGGGCCTCTTGGATGCGCACCCGGCCTGATGGGCCTACTGGATGGCAGCTGTCCATGGATGCTCGAAGGCTCACCCCTTGCAGATGGCTTCTGCTCCCCACTTCGGAGCAAGGCCTTCCCCTTCCTCTCCACAATGTTGTGGAGGACACAACATGCTGCGACCACCTCGGGGATGTTGTGCTCCCCCATGTCGAGGTGGGTCAGCAGGCACCTGAACCACGCCTTGAGGCAGCCAACGGCGCACTCAACCAGGATCCTGGCCCAATTCAGGCGGGCATTAAATTGGTCCCTGCAGAGGTCCAGGTGTCCCATATAAGGCTTCATAAGCCACGGCATCAGGGGGTAAGCCGCGTTCTCCACAATTCACAATGGCATCTGCACATCCCCAACAGCTAGTTCATGGCGGGGGAAGAATGTGCCCGCCTCCAGCTTTCCATACAGACTAGAGTTCTGAAAAAAGCAGGCATCATATGCCCTGCCCGACCACCCAACAAAAATGTCCGTGAACTGTTCATGGTGGTCAACCAGGCCTGCAGCACCATCGAGAAGTAGCTTTTCCTATTAATATACTCGGCTGCTTGATGCCCTGGTGCGCAGATCAGTATGTGGGTCCCATATATGGCTCCAGCACAGTTCGGGAACCCCAGAGCAGTGAATCCAGCCACGATCGGGTCCAGGTCTCCCAGGCAGATGACCCGCTGCAGCAGGATCAAGTTGATGGCCTTCACAACCTGCAGAAGGATATAAAAACAAACACACAAAGCAGAGAATGAGAGAGGGAGTTCCTGAGCCCTTGGGAGATGCCCACCCCCCTCTCTTCTCTTCCCCTCCCCCAAACACCCCAGGAGCCTCCCCCTATGAGGCCGCCCCACCAGCAGCAGGCCTGTGTGAGGGTGG